TGAAGAGAATGTGTTTACCTTAAAAAGGATAAAATGACCCTTCCTGCGTGGCCGAGCGTTAAAGCATAAAACTGCTGACTTTGATCCATCTTAATAAAACACCCTTATGCTCTTGATATATATATATATATATATATATATATATATATATATATATATTAGAGTGTCGAAGGCTTGTGTAGAAACAGCCTCCCTTTTTGGAAGAATACAAATAAATTGTGCACAGTGTGATATGAAATCTATCTTCAAACACCGCTTTTCAGGCTTGAAATAATTTTTTTTTACTTTCCAAGTTCGGTTGTTCTGTCATCATTGCCATTTAATACTTTGCTTTTTACTTTAATCATTTTTAAATGTTGTATTAATTCTGTAGTATACCAATGTACTATTTCATCCACAGAGAGCCCTAGCACTAATATGATATACATTGGGTCCACGAAGAATAATTTTAAAGATAGATGGAGGCAGCATAAGTGCTCCTTTAATAATATAAACAAACGAAATCAGACTTCACTATCAAAATATTTTTGGCACCTGAAGGAAACAAATAGGACACCAAAAGTTAAATGGAAAATCATTGACAAGGCTAGAACATGTAAAGCTTGGGATGACCCATGCCCTTTGTGCCTCCATGAAAAATTGCACATTATTAAACTTCTAAATAATAATAATCTATTAAATAATAGACACGAGTTAACGGTTTTTTTTAGGCATCATCAGATTTTTGGTTTGAATAATTAGATAAAAAAATTTATATAACTTGTTTAACAAATAGCCCAATCATCAGATTCATAGGAATAATTAACTACAAACATGCATACAACATAACACACTTCATAATCCATAGCCTGAATTAGTAGTTTAAATACCTTACATATAAGATAACCCTTTATGAAGTCGTCAAAAAACAAACGTTACGAAAAGTTTTCTTTTTTTTATATGCACAATTCCCTTTCATAATAAAATAAAATAAAATAAATAAATAAATCTCCATAGACAAACAAACTAGACGATGGCCAATACATCTTCCGTTTCATTTTGACACCCCACCTTTCCCCGACTTGACACCTTGAAAGTATCTCTATACCGCTACTTATTATAAACACCCTACACTCGCCTATCCAATTTAGACAATTCACTATAGCTGTTACCATGGGGATTTTGATTTCAATTTTTAAAACAAGTAAATTTCAGATATACGTTATTCCAACAAAAATTTCGCTTGAAGATGGAACGGGCCCATTTTACTATCAACTCAATTTAATTTAAAGGATTATATTGAAGTTTTCGGCTCTTGTTTTGAAACATGAGACCTCTTATGTAGCGATTTGGAATCATATTTTTAAATAAATAATTATATTTATGCTCTACTTTTGTATCGAGCACTATTTTTTAAAAATAATAACTAAAATACTAAGGTACTTTGGATTATTTACCTAACCAGTTCCTTCCTATTTTCTATATATTTTCACACACACACACACACACACACACACACACACACACACACATATATATATATATATATATATATATATATATATATATATATATATATATATATATATATATATATAATGAGACTTTATCTGGACGAATTTCGCGTATGATAAATAGCTGTTATTTTTCGGCGAATGTTAGGGTAATATTTGTTACCCATCCTGTTTTCTCATCCATTTGTAAGGACGCCTCCCCGCCCCCGGACCATCTAATTCAGTGATTTATCAATATAGGTGTAGTTGTGGACTCGACTACATAGGGAGGACGTCCCAGCGTTTGGATCTGAGAATAAAAGAACACTTACCCCCCAGGATTTTGAATCCGGATGTCAGGTAAAGTCAACTAATCAATAATTCTGACTCTTCTATTGAGGAGCATGTAATAAGTAGCAGTAAATTTGTGTTTGATTTTAGAGTAGACAGTTTTTCGTTTTTATCTAGGTCCCACTTTTCATATCACCTCAATGTTCTAGAGTCTTTGTATATCAGATCCCGTGGGCCTTTCCTCTGTAAACAGAAGGAATCCTTACTGGGTTTGAATTTTATTTTATTCATATTTTTTCCTTCCATCCATTCGTTATATTAATTTAATTTACACGCTGATATATTTTTTTAATATCCCCTAATAATAAAGTTGATAAGGCTGGGACGAAAACGGTTGTTCTTTTTTAGCTTTTTAAAATGCCATATAAATGTTGCTTATTCGTTGCTATCGTTAAATTTTGTACCATAAAAAACTTATTTAAATATATACACACACACACAGACACACACACATATATATATATATATATATATATATATATATATATATATATATATATATTAATAAGTATACATATATCTACGTTTTCTTAGCTTCTAGCAACATTGAGCATTGACATGTTTACACCTTAAAGCAAATCTGGTAAATATTTATTTGCCTACATCCGTATAGAGCGCTACCGTGCGTATACAGTTGCTAATATCTAGTTATTTGATTTGTCTACCTACACACACACACACACACACACACACACACACACACACACACACACACACTTATATATATATATATATATATATATATATATATATATATATATATATATATATGTATATATATATATGATTTATTCGAAAAATTATAACATAAATATATTTATAAAATCACTACAAAAATAACCGTTTTGCTTTAACACTTCTAGTGTCCTATCAAGTGATGGTGTTAAATGTAGAATAAAGAGTTTTTCTCCATTGTCATTTTGACAGGAAAAATCTTTATTCTATATTAAACGCCATCACTTGATAAACTCAAGAAATGTTTAAACAAAATGGCTATTTTTGTAATGATTTTATAATATATTTATGTAATAATTTTCGAATAAATTATATTTTCTCTACTCTGTATTTAGAACTCTTTTATGAATAGTAATTTTTAGTTATTGGAATTTATTCCGCATACACCAATCCTACTCTTGGGTATATATATATATATATATATATTATGAAAAACTAATTAAACCGTATGGGTAGACCATAATCCAGAGAGGTCAATGTAAATCCAGAGCAAATAATTTAAATAAAAACAGACCACTTTATGGTTCCATGTAATAAATTATTTCATCACTTTACTTCCAAAGGTTAAAAAGTCTGATGATCCGCAGTCCTTTAAAAGGGCAGTAGTGAAATAATTTATTACATGGAATCTTAAAGTGGTCTGTTTTTATTTTATATATATATATATATATATATATATATATATATATATATATATAAGCTGCATGGTCGGCGTTGCCCGTGCTTGATCAAAAATCGTACGAATCATACAGCAATCGATATCACTTGACTTAAAAATATTGTTGTCCTTCCTTGCCTTTAAAGGAGTGCTCTTTGCCGTGCTGATGTTGCTACATGCCTTACTTCTTGTCTCACACTGCGAACTTTTTCTAAGCTCTATACTAAACATTAAATCTGTTACGAAAAAAGAACTAAACAAAATGAATACAAAACGATCAGCTTTAAAAATGACTCGTAACTGGAAAAGCGAATAAAAAAAGAATGTTAACAACAGATACTTTTTCACACCCAACCCAGTTCTGCGAAATCAGAATCAACGTCGAGTTTAAGCAAGCGAATGCGTCAATTGTAGTAAAGTGCCATGCAAATTTAAATTTTTCCCTCTTGTGACGAATGCAGCTATCGATTTTTTTTTGCATGCTAGTTAACATTCGTGTCAGTCAGCTGTTGGCTCTCATGCTGGCCAATAGAATCTTTCTGCCTATTCGTGGCAGCCAGCGATTGGCTCTGACTCTGGCCAGTACAAACTACATGAAAACTGCCGTAGAAGCATGAAAAAATCGATTATTTCCACTATCGATGTGCGTTGGGAAATGCAAAGTCAGTCTTGGCCTTCCCGCTAACTTGGAGCATGTGTATGTAAATTTTGGTGCCAAATCCTCTTGAAAATTGCGTCCGTGCATTCGTTACAGACACACACACACACACATCCTGCCTTATATATATATATATATATATATATATATATATATATATATATATATATATATATATGAATCTATGCACTGTTACTACATAGAATAGGACACCACCAATGAAGAACCCAAGCTGGCTCACTAACCACCTCCCCACATCCACACATACATGCTTGCAGAGTTGATGAGGTCTCCCACATAGAAACACTCACAAAAATATATACACATACATACAAAAAAAAGAACTAAAAGATAACATACATATAAGACACACACCTCTCTTTGCCAGCAACCGAGAAAGCTGTCAAAATGGAGGTAAAACTTAGATTCATGAATCTCTCAATCTATCCTTGAAGCCTTTGACCGGTACAAAGACTGACACAAAGATAAAAAAAACAAACGAAAATTATAGGCAAAATTCAACTTCTTCAGTGACAGTCAAACACCCCTGTAGTTCACTGCTATTAACATGTTTTGTGTTTTCCTGACGATGTCAATGCTGGTCGAAACTAGTCGATGAAACTAATTTTAAAAATAGAGCAAAAATATTAATTCACACCCCAGTGTGACTGAAAGTTTAATTTTTAACATTTTTTTCAAGAGATTATATATATATATATACTTTAAAAAGTAGGAGGTTAGTTGAATTCGAGACCATGGTTTCGACTTGACGGCATCAGCAACTGACGACTCAACGCTTTATTTTAAAAATAAAACACAAAGGAAAAAAGCTCTATATGTTATTTTTATCTTTATTTTATTTATATATGTATGTATGTATGTATGTATGTGTGTGTGTGTGTGTGTGCTAACAACCTTATCAACCTTTTGTAGCTAATTTAAAGCATGAAAACATTTTAAAATTTTATGAAATAATACAAGTACTGTTAGTTAACCCATATCTGGGGGGGGAAAAGAGGTGTATTCATAACTTTTCTAAGGATATTTGGGCGTAAGTGTATATAACGAACCCGGTTGGAATTTGAACTCAGGTCTCCGTTTTCCAATTTCGTGCCGCACATCCAAGCGTACAGCATCTGGAACTCACAAGCAATCACCCATCTACTGACTAGTCTCTACATTGCTTAACTTCGGTGATCGTACGAGAACCGGTGTTTCAACATGTTTTGGCCATAAGCCACATTTATTAATGTTGTCATCGGGAAATATAGAATAGAAGAAGACGGAAAGTTGAAGGGAGAAAAGAAGAAAAAATAAAACGTTCAAAATAAAAGAAATTTGCTGAAAGGAAAATGAAAAAAAAAAGAAACAATATTCAGAAAAGTTCGAGAACAAATCGAGGTTTTGCCATTCACTTCAAATAGAAACATCCAGATTCCCCATCAGCTGCTCAAACAAAAGCTATAGGGGGGAAAAAAAAGCAACGAAAAGAAAATCATGATGCAAATAAACTATGATTTATGCAAACAAAAACAGCACCGCCAAGGGAAGCTACAATCATAATGAAAAAACAGCTTGACTATCCATTTTCGGAAGGAAAATGACAACCAACGCGCAGACGGTCTCCAATAATTAATATGTCGGAGTGATAATTGAATAAAAATAATGGCTGCTTAAACCAGAGGAGAATCCATGATGTGATTACACATTTTATTTTGATATATATCTTTCTCTATTTTCTAGAAACCATTTATGTCTATTTTTCTGAAATGAGGTATTGTAATTATCTACACTATTTACATTGGTAGTCATCTTTGTTGTCATATTTACGACGTTTCGGCCGATGTATGCTCCGGGCTTCTTCAGGATCTGTCTATATTTCTGAGATGAGGTATTGTTATTATTTATATTATTGGCATTGTTCGGACTGTTGTCCCCCATATTTGTTGCCATATTCACGATGTTTTGGCTGTTATACGCCCCGACTTAACTGAGGAACTGCCTATATTTCTGAGATGATGTATGGTAACTATTTACGTATGTACATTGCTCGGACTATTGTCCACGTCTTTATTGTAATATTCATGACGTTTCGGCTGTGGTAAGCTCCAGCCTTCTTCAGAACCAGTCTACATTAGTATTGTAATTATTTATACTATTGACATTGTTCAGACTGTTGTTCTCATATTTGTTGCTATATTCACGACGTTTCGGCCGTTGCATGCGTCTGCCTTCCTTAAGATCTGTCTATATATCTGAGATGAGGTAACTGTTTACATTATTTACACTGCCCGGACGATTTTCTTCGTTTTTATTATGATATTCATGACGGTTCGGGCGTTGTACGTTCCAGCCTTCTTCAGGATCTGTTCATTTTTCTGAGATGACGTATTTAATTATTTGTACTATTGTCATTGTTCGGGCTGTTGTCCTCATAATTGTTGCCATATTCACGATGTTTTGACCGGAAAGTACAATGGCCGTACGTCGTGAATATGCCAACAAAGATAAGGATAACAGTCCGAACGATGTTAATAGTGTAAATAAAACATTTTTAATTATAAATAATAATTATATTTATGATCATGATCCCCACCTCTTTTGTGAGAGGGAGTGATGTGGATTCCCTTTTTATTTATTTATTTATTTGCTTTAGTGCGTTTAGGTGTCTTGGTGGTAATCAATTTTCTTTTCTATAGTAGCAATAATAATGCCTTGAATGAAATGATGTTACTAGGTTGGCATCTCGGTTTCACTCTTTCACTGTCGAAACGGGTAAATGTAACCGCCTCTTCTACTCCAACAGCTTCTTCTCTCGCACTTCCCGATAGTGGAATTCCCTTCCTCTTATTTACTTCCCTGATAGCTATAATCTTCAGATATTCAAATGTAATGTCAATCGACATCTTCTGATGCCTTGATCCCGATCCTCGTCTTTCTCTATATCCTTTCCTCACACACCGCCCCTCTTTACCTCTGACTCTCACTGTCTGTAACCCCTTGCGTGCTAGTGGCACTCCCGCCTTGCTTGGAGTGAAATGCTTAAAAAATGATTCCAGTTAACAGCCTGTTAGGTGAAATCCTCGTGGATGGGTTCACGGTTGTTCCTCCCCACCACCACCACAGCGTTTTCTACTGTTTTGATGGTGACGTGTCGCTTATCATCATAAACTGACACTCAACCGGTACTTTGAAATGGCATTTTACAAAAGATAACGAAATATCAAACAAAATTTCAGGCAGAGAAATGAATAACAGTAGAAAAAAAAATAACTGAATTTCCTCATGTCTTCTATTTACATTATTCGGACGATTGGCATCATTTTTGTCGCCATATTTATTACAACGTTTTGGCCGTTGTACGATCCGGCCTTCTTCAGGTGGTTGGAAAGTCGAACTGAACCCTTTATTTCACTCACTGGGATAGACTGTTCTAGTTCCACGTGCCATGTTTAATAGATGTCAGTTGTCAGTTATTTCCTGTTAATTCCCTTCTCCAAGTTCTCCAGTGCCTTAACCGGGTATTGAACTCAGACTCTTTGGGTCCTGTCACTGGATCTAACCAACGTCTTTATCTACTGTGACATGTATCCTCAAGTTCAATGCTGACAACGCACACCCATGAAAACATGGCATGTGGAACTATTTTGTTGCCACGAAAATTTGTTCATTGTCTCGTGCTTAACAATTTTTCTCTTGTGAATCTTTCACGTTTATAAGTTTACGATTCGTTCGAACATTGAATATTTTGCCCCATCTACTCTGGTGATTCTGTAATATATCTAGAGATTCTGGATAAAATCCAAAAAAGAATCTGCAATATTATTGATGCTGACCTAACAGCTCGGTTTCAATCCCTTTCCCACCGCCTTAACGCAGCTCCACGTGTTCTTCCTATAAATACTTTACTGGTAATTGTTCTGATGAGCTTTCCACTTTGTTACCTCGACTTCAGGGATTTAAGTGTAGTACTAGATTGGCAACTAGGTGTCATTATTGTACTGTTAAAATTGAAAAAATGCAACCGTAAGTTCTATTCTAATAGTTTCTTCGCTAGCAATTTACACTTATGGAACTTTTTTTTCCAGTTTCTTGATGTCCTGTCAGGTAAAATTTTTAAAAATCTCAATGCCGAAAATCTTCAACTTCCGTCCTTTTGCAGCCTCTTCTTTTTATTGTCCTTTTCCCACAGTAACCCTTTTAGTCTTAGGGGCTTTATATCCTTACTTGGGGGTGTTTGATTTTTAAAAAAAACCTGGAAAACTGAGTTCAAGTACAACCTGGGAAATTTTTTTTTACTTCGCACTTCACTCCACTTCTATCGATAATATATCAAGCAAGGGAGGCTCTCGGGTCTTGGCCCGTCACCACTTCAGGAATAATGGAATATATGATATCGAAAGCAGACATGAATTAGGAGTAAAGACGCTAGGTGTGGTTCTAGCAATTCCACCACGTAAAAATTATTTGTTAGTGAAACGACGACATGCAGACTTATTTTCCCCCCAAGGAAAAAGTAAATAAAAATGAAAGAAAGAAAATACTACAGAGAAGAATGATAAGTAAAATACGGAATATTATTTCAAAGAAAATTATTTTTAAAATTATTTTGGAAACTTAAGATCACGCTTTCTTTGGCATCAATAATAAATCTGTAAATAGGTTTAAAATGGTAAATAATCCCTTTTTTTCTTGCATGTTTAGGAAAATAAATGCCATTTCCTCTAAAGTTTAATTTCAAAAGTTCATTGTAGACCAAATAAGTATATTTCTTATACTTAAAATATATTAAGTCTCCCATGAGGTTATGGAGAAATATTATAGATGTGCGTGTGTGTCACGTTAGAGAAGGTTGATTTTTCACTTCTTTTAGAAAATTGACATTGCACTCAAACGGAAAGCTGGGGTTTAATTTGATAAGTACTGACACTACAATAGGTAGCTTTCACTAATTTTCGAGCATTTAGTTTGAAATATAGTCTGAAGAATATACATATATACCTAATATCCGCAGGTTTTTGCTTACAGACTGTCTACACATTTTCATTATTTCAAGAATAAATCCAAATAAAGTTGATATCTTTTGTATTAGAAACATTGAATGGAAAATATATTCAAATCAGAATTCTAATTATGAATCACTACAAGCAAAATAGGCAATTTTTTACTGTATTCGATAAGTAAAATCTGTATTAAATAAATTGTAAAAGATTTACAAAAAGGTCTTATCTTTTTTATCCAGCCGCAGTTTCTTGGGCAAAATAGCCAGACGGAGTCTAGTCCGATTCTGAATCCAGAGTTTTCCTTCTCATAGGCTATAAAACCCAGTCTCTCATAGAAGAAGAAAAAGATTCCTACACGTAAGCGAATGTAATACAACCAAGAGGAATTAAAGACTTGGCTCATCCGATTCTTCAGCCCGAGCCGCTATCCATTATTCCACCGTGCCTCCTACCGAATTATCAAGATTTTTTAAATCATTATTTAGATTATATTTAATGAAAACAAAGAAATAGCGAAAGAAGTTTATATAATACTATAATACTGCTGGGCACAAATTATTAGACAAACTGTTTTAAAATTGCATTGTTTATTGAAAACCCCACCAAAACTATTGCCCTGTATAATATATTACATCATAATATAGCTAAATTGTTCAGTATAATTTCCTTTTGAAGTAAATGAAAGTGTTATTGTGCCAATGATTTAGTAATAATGTGCCATCTATCTTGTCCATATACAATTTATAAAGCTTCAGTAAATTATAAATTTATAAGGTTGATCTGTGGAATGAAATTGCAACGTTACGATTTCGAACCTAAACTTAATCTTCAAACTTTCCCTCAAAAAATGGCAATAAATTTAAAAAAAACATAATTGTGTCATTATTTATCATGTCAAAACCCAAATCTGAAACAGAGTGCAATATCATGGTTCTAAAATCGACCTGCCCTAGTGTGCCATTTGAGTTCTGTAAACACATAGGATCGTAGAGGCACCATAATGAAAGCAGTGGTGAGACTAAGGTAACATAGCCTGGTGAGACTAAGGTAACATAGCCTGGTGAGACTAAGGTAACATAGCCTGGTGAGCCCAACATTATTCACACTGGTTTTGAATTCAATGTTTCTCTGCTCAAAGACTAGTTGCCGCTTCACAGCATGAGAGCACAGTTTGTTCTGCTATTTATCCCATAGCAGGAGAAGTATTATATTTTTCTTTATATATATTATAT